CTTCATAGTACAGCAGAGCTGATGGGAAAGAGAACAGGCTCAAGTTAAACAATATTCACATCTTTTTATTTTGTTAGCAGCAATTCCCTGTATTTCTGGAATCACATTCACCTCCAGTTTTGAGGTTTCCCTGCACTGAAATCAAAGTTGACACAGGCCTCTCTTGCTGAATCCTGTCCCCTGCATACTGATCCCATGGGCTGGGCACGGAGGAGCCTGAGCAAGGCACAGGCACAGGGAACAGGACACGGCATCCAAACCAAAATGAATGCAGAACGGGAGGTAAATGGCGCTTTTTAGCTGATTTTCATTCCTGACTGATTACTTAACAGGCCAACTACTTAGCATGAGCATTGTCTGCTTTAAGTGTCAGCGCATAAAAGTGTGCCCCCATGACTATTAGCAAACAGAGATGGAACATAAAAGCTGCTGCACAGCCTGTGCTGCTTAGAATAGACATTTAGCACGAGACACTGGACATAATGACATGTGCATTTAAGTCCATTATACCAATGCATGTGATTTTTCTTTTCCTGGTTAGCAAATGGCCTCATATGTTTCAAATTGTCCTCTGAGGTTCTGAGTGACGTGGTGAGGGATAATGAGCCAGACTCCAGGATGGATGAGGCAGAAAGGGGGTGTTCTCCTTTACCCACTGCTTTGTAATAATGAAATAAGGGGCAGTCCACTGACAGAGCCACCAAGCTCTGCTGACAGAGCATCCCAACCAGATTGGAGTCAGCTAGCTGGAAAAGATGTGGATAGAAGTCTTTTGGACTAGCTGGTTCCCACCAGAGTCAAGCTTCACAAGAAGTAGGGTGATATCACTGCCCCAGGACAGATATATACCTGAAATAGATAAGATATCCATTTGCTGTGGTCATGTTTTGACATATCATTGTGTTGAAGATCACAGAGAAATATTTTTACTATTTGGCAGGTTCTGCTTGGAAGTAAACACATGGGCTTGTGCTCTCGAATGCTATGACAATCTTATCTGCTCAGTAAGCAACTCGGCTGCTCAGAGGCTGGTCCCTGCTGGGTGATAGATGGCCAAGTTCAGGCTGGTGGGATATGTCCAGAGCTGTGTGTTAGAGCCGACGCTAAACGGTTTTTGTTTGAGTGTTTCTTCTGGTGTGTGGAAATTGGAAGTGCTGCTCCGTTCTGCTCTCACTGTCAACACAGGCACCCTACCAGCTCAGGTGCTTGGCAGTCCTGAGGTCTCCCCTCCCCACCACAAGGATGAAGCACTAGTGTTCAAACACCTTCCCAACACTGCTAAATTTGCCCATCTGCACACACACACGAGACCAGCAGCAGCAGTCAGGGATTCTCCATCTCCTGAAGAACCAGTAATCAAACTGGTGAGCCCAGGACCCAGTCAGGTATTTCTCTGAGCCACAAGTCAGAGGTGGGTGGGCCTGTGTGTTATGCAAGGGAGAAGTTACGGTGATACCAGTTTCCCATCACCCAAGGAGCAGGAGTTTCCACAGGCACCACTGTGAGTCTGTGCTTGGCTGGTTACGATGGGAATTGCCATTCATCATGGCATGAGGGGGCTTAAGCTGTCTCAGAGCACACTGTCAGTTAACCAACTCTTAATAGAGAGCAATCTGATCAGTACAAGACACGTCCTCGCAGCTAAAAAGCCTTAAATGTTTCAGATGCAGCAGCCTCTGAAGTCTTCCAAGACACCTTCTGCAGTACTCATTATTATTTCCCTGCTGTTGAGAGGGAGCAGCCAATGTAGGCACTTTGTGTTCATTAACCAGTGTAATATTCACTGGTCTATTTAATTAATGCTTAGAAAATGTACTTGATGAATTATAAGTTACTGGGCCAGGGGAGGGAGGGGGAATGCAGAAATAGATTAACGTTGGCTGATCTTTTAAACTTCATCCAAAATTATTTCTTTGGTTTTTACACTCAGCAAGCCTCGTGGGGTGTCCCCCCTTCCTACACACAGCTAATTTCTCACAGGCACAGTTGCTGACTATCAAGGAACCTCTTGTAGGAGCTGCTGAAGGCAAAGCTGTTTGCCGGGTGTATTGCAAGAGATGTGGGTAGTGGAGCAGAGGTGTTGGGCACATTCTACTGCCTCTTTCTCTATCCAGCCCATCCATTATATCCTGGACACATCAGCTTCACACCACATGGAGGAATGATTCTCTCAGGGGAGTCCTCAACAGAAATCTGAGAGTTGCCCCTCAAAACTGATGGGTTTGAGGCATGCATAAGAAAGGGCTCATAAGCCTAACAGGCAGAACAGACAGAATGGGGCAGAGGAGGGAGCGGTATTTTCTGAACACAGCACAACAGCCCAAGCAGCTAAACGATTTTCAGAAGGTCACAAAGGAAACGTGTGTCCGGGCTGGGAATTTAACCCAGATTTTTGTGCTTAGTTCATTGCCTTAGCAGCTGGATGCTTCTGCCTGCCTTGTCACTGACACTAGTCATTGTAAAGTGTTCCTTCACAGTATTTGGAAAAGGTGGTAAGAGAAGGAGATCTGACAGAGATTCACCATCAGTGAGGGGAAAGAAAGTGTCTTTCCTCTTTGTGTTGTTACAGCACCAACTGTGAATTCAGGGAAGTCTACTCCAGCTCGGGTTTTCTGAGCTTGCCACACAGAAAATCCCACAAGTTTCCTTTGCAAATCTCTTTTCTTTTAAGTAGCACCAATTTCCTGGTGCACACGTTTTGCATTTGCCCGGGTGCATGTGTGAGAGCCAGTAGCTCCCCAGCTCGCTCTCCACCCTGGAGATCGCTTGAGAATTGGGTTTTCTTTGCGAGGATGAAGCATCATGTGCAGGCTCTGTGCTCCGAGAGGCTCAATTTTGTACAGAAAATGATCTGTGTAGGTGTCCGTGTGGAAAGCCTTGGGAATGCTCCTTGCAGCCTTAAGAAATGCAATACTGCCCTCTAGTGATGGTGAGGATGGTCTGGTCTGAGCTGGCGAAATAAAAAGCGTTTTGGCTAACCTTCCTTGGGATTCAAAATGGAATAAATGTTCCTGTTTCTCTTCTGACCTTGGAATTAAGGATCCTGCCGTCATAACTCGGAGAGCACTGGCAGTGGTGATAAGCAGGGAAGGTTGTTCAAGAATCATAGAATGTGTATAATTAGCATTATTCTCCATGCATTCAGCAGATGGAAAGCCAGCTGCACTCACAGAGCAGATCTAGCAAGAAGGTTCCTTTTTTAATGCAAAATTTTTTTGCATTTCTAAAGCCAAGTATATCTTTATTTGGAAATAAAAAGAAAAAGGAGAGAGAGGCAGTTTCAAGAACAGGAGGTGAAACACTGTGGAAACCAGAAAAAAATAAGAAAAAGTCTAATCTTTGTGTTTCATCATCCATATATTCAGATGTTGTGAGTTTGGGGGGGTTGGGGGTTTGGTTTTTTGGGGTTTTTTTGGTTGGTTAGTTGGGTTTGGGGGGGGGTTGATTCAAGTTTTATTTTTATTTCTTGTTTGAACTCTTCTGCGATGGAGAGAGAAGGAGGGATAATACAGAAGCCCTTCAGCAGATGAATAAAATGTTTCTCTCACTCTAGTAAGCAAGGAGTCGGTTCTGTCAGGAAATAGAGTATTTTGAGTACCCTTCAGAGGACACTCAGGAGCACTAGAAAGCCTTGACCTTTGCCCCTAAGAAGGTGACATTTAAGGCCCTTGTTTCTGCAAATAGCTCAGTGTGGACAATCCCTCCAGTGCTTGTGTGAAGCCCCAGGAGCATCCACAGGTCTCTCGGCTCCGCTCCCAGACAGCGGGGTCAGGGAATGAGGTTTCTCTGTAACTGGACCCCGCATGTCAGCCCAGATTCCTAAGGAATTTGGTTATTTTAAAGTCCCTGATGCAGACATCATTTCCCTGGCACCTTCTCCATTCTAATTGCCTCTGACAAGGCACGATAGAACTGGAATTTATGTAAGGAGCATCGCTGTCACTGCACTGCAACTTAAAGATCACTACAAAACAGCATAGGCAGACAGAGCTATTTATTTTTCCTTACTTAAGACACTCAGTGAATGCAAAATTCACCTCCATCATTCACCAAACCTAGCCTGCTTTCTCTTGTACTACAGGAACACACAGCATACCTGTATATAATGATCAGTCATCAATGCTGACAGTATCCTGAGCTTTTTTTCCCTCAGAAGTTCACAAGGCAGAATTAAGGGCTGGAGCCAGTTCAAGCCAGTGGCAAAACTCTCACACACAGAGTTCACTGCCGAAGGATCAGACCTTCCAAGCAGGCAGGACATGGAGTACTGAATAAATGCATACATATCGTGGGCTTTCAGCATAATTGTAAATATTTTGGGCAATCAGCCAATGCAAGAGAGTGGGGTTTTCTGACACGGAGGGTTTGGGCTTTCTCCTGAGTTCTGAGTAGTCATATCAGCTCCAAAAAAAGTAGATTATTATAATTTCCTTTCATCCCTAGCATTGTTACTCATAGTAGTGGTGAATTGTGAAAGGTTAGTAACTACTGCTCACTCAGTGACCATAGCTACAAAATGTAAAGAAGCCTTTATAAAATTTGCCTTATGCAGAGCAGAAGGCAACAGGAAAGGAACCCAGAAGTGCATTTCTGTCAGTGAATGTTTTACAAGATGCAGGTTAACAGCACAGAAATGGATGGTTATGATGGGTGAAGGAGTGAAGCAGAAATGCCAAAATGTGATGGCGAACGAAGGGGAAGCTTACAGGTAAACAGAATAAAGGATTATTTTGAGCCTAAAAACAAAACAAAGGGTTATTTAGAAACCAAATCATCCCCTTGATGATTTAGTTCCTTTGGTATGGCTGGGGTGGTGGTGACTGATCACGTCCTGGAGCATGCACAAGCCTCCTTCACCACCCCATAGCAAAGGGAAAAGAGTTCATTTTTAATACACTCATCATGACTCAGTTGACCACATTTTTCAATGTAATAAGTGCATTTCCATTTTTTTGCCTTAGTTCTCCCTCATTCCTAACCCCTCTTGCTTTCCCTTTCAGGTTCTACATTGAAAGCATCTCCTATCTGAAGGACAATGCCACCATCGAGCTGTTTTTCTTGAACGCCAAGTCCTGCATCTACAAGGTAAGGACTCAGGGAGCTCTGTGCGGCATTGACATGGGCTGAGACAACTGGGTCTGCATTTTCTGTCCAAAAATTCACACCTGGACTTCAAGATACAACCTTCTCCTCTTCCTCCTCACAGCCTCCTTCACTCCTCTGCCTCCAGCCTCCCCAGCGCTTTGGCAGCAGCTTCCCTGTCAGAGGGAGGTTCTGTGAGAAAACCACTCCTGAAAGTAATTCTTGTGGCTAGCAGGAGGGAATTTGCAGTGCTAAAATTATAAACTGGCTTGTATTTAGAAAGAAAGGTCTGGCTTTGTGTTGAAAACCCGCTCTAGTAGGGTCAGTGGATGTCGTGAGGGTTTCCCGCCCGGAGGGGGCGGCAGAGCGGCATGGGCGCCATATTCTGGGCCGGGCCATGGGGTTTGTGTGAGGGGGAAGAGCCCGTGAGAGGGAGAGATGGAATATCCTGGCTTGGAAAGAACCCACGAGGATCGTCGAGTCCAGCTCCTGGTGCTCTTTGTGACAACCCCAAAAATCGCACCATGCGCCTGAGAACATTGTCCAAAACGCACCTTGAAATCTGGCAGGCCTGACGCCACGACCACTTCCCTGCGGAGCCTGTTCCAGTGCCCAACCACCCTCTGGGTGAAGAACGTCTTCCTAATATCCCACTAAACCTCCCCTGACACAGCTTCATGCCATTGCCTCGGGTCCTGTCTCTGGTCACCAGAGCGAAGAGATCTGTGCCTGCCCCTCCACTGTCCCTCGTGAGGAAGCTGCAGACCACCATGAGGTGCCCCCTCAGTCTTCTCCAGGCTGAACAAGCCAAGTGACCCGAAGTTTGTGGGACAGCAGGAGTCTGTGGGTGTATGTGTGAGTGGGTTGAGGGTGCCTGTTGGTATGCACTGAAGGATCACCTTTCACAGAAACAAGCCATGCACTGAGAAATATTTTTTTTTCTATCAGGAATAGCCCTCCCTGGTAGGCTAATGAAACACCAGCCTGCTGTCCCTGGCACTGTAGCTCAGAGATAAGGGCATCCTGGCACAGCCTCCATGCAGAGCAGTAAAGCTGATCCCCCAGATACCACAAGCCAAACATACACATGAAAGACCTGGGTGCAGAGAATCAACCAGCCCCAGACCACGCTGAGGTGGAGGCTGGCAGTGTGCAGACTTAGCCAGGTGGGCTGGACGTCTGGGGACTGGGAGAGGTTTTCCAGCAGCTGGGATTCCCTGGGAGGATCCCTCCTACCTCCCTGTGTGCTGGCAGAGGCCATTCCTGATGACTCACATCATCTGCCAGGGAGGAAGCAGTAGGAAAAGACAACTGTAGTCAGAGAGCAATTTTACTGCTATCCCACAACTCAGCACATTTGTGACCTGCTAAGCTAAATAGCTTACACGGAACCCAGAGCCTTGCTTGACATCTACGTGCCCTAAAATGTAGGGACTAGCTTTGCATCTTCTACAATGCAGAGCAGAAGCCAGCAAATGCCTGTTTTCCTGTGCCCAGGAACCAGGCAGGGCTGCTGAGCTGAGCTGTGCAGCGCTTTGCTCTCTGGCAAGGCTGCAATTAGACGTGCTTAGTCAGCCCTCTTCAGCAACAAGCTCAGTGAGCATCACATCTTGGTTCCTGGGGAAAGTTCCTTTTTGAAGTATTGCCAGGAAGAGCTTACACTGTTGTTCTTTTTTTGGAAAAAGCTTAATAATAAGAAGAGAGGAAAAGAAATAAAGAAAAAAAAAGTGCCTACAGATCTAGGTTGGTCTATTTTAGTCTGACCTCTCCTGAAACAATTACTTTGCACATTCAAGCTGACTGTCATCTCTATCCACAAATAGCCCTACTGAATGCCCCGTCTCCCATGAGGATCCTTCCCAATTTGACTTCCAACCACAGCAAGCCATGCTGTGCTGTTAAAAAAGGCGCTGAATTTGAAAGTTGGGTGCAAAGTGTCTGCTAAGACTCAGGGCAAGCACTCAGCCAGCATGCCTGGAGGACTCCTGTAGCTGTAGAAAGAGGGATTCAGTGTTTAAGCACAGCCAGTGCATCTTGTTCCTGCAGCTAGCAGGTGGTGTTGCATGCTCACAAACCTCGAAAGATTCCTTGTTGCACCAAAAGTTTCCTTGTTGGACTTCCCATAAATACCTCCACCTCTGGTTCCGCTAGAGCCCAAAAAGACCATACTGTGTATGTAATAAGTGTAGTTCCTAACGTTTTGCTAGAACCTCAGACCTTCCCCCTGTTGATTCTCCAGACAGACGTCCTCAAACGTCCCTATACACAGAGCTGCTCGGGCTGGGAAAGAATAAAACTGAGGCCTGTTTAGTTTGGGGCTGCTGGTCACTGGGTTGCCGGCTGGCTCTGTGTTAGGGGCTGCACTCCTCTGGCTGTGCCCACCACTCCCCCTCAATCACCCTGTTGTGCAATGAGACATTCACGAACCCACACATCCAAACCCTCGCACAGGACCAGCAAGATACTGTTGCCCAGAAAGGCCAAGCCACATTTGTACTACCAAATAAGACAGGGCTTGGCATCAGACGCTGTCCCTTCATCAGTCAGGCTGTTTAATTACTGGCACGTTCTGGCGGGGGTTTTGGCATGTGCCAGCAAGCTCTGTCCCAGGCGTTGCTTTGACACCTGCACAAGGATGTGCACCTGTTCCCAATAGGCAACACAGTGGTGGAAACCCCATCTGGGACTGGGGGAGGGAGGAATAGTGTTTAGTCATGAGCTGTGCTGCACCCATGCACCCTTGGGGCCAGAGAACGGGCTCTGGCCCATCTCATCTACTAGTATAGACTTGCCATAGCATCGACACGTGGTTGCAGAGGCTGGTTGGTCCATGCCATGCCTGGTGCATCTTGATGGGAGGGAGAACAGGCTCTGGCTCCGCTCTGCATCGCCCCTTGCTGTGGGATGTGCCCACACAGCCTGCAGCTGAATCGACCTCTTGCACCCGCCGCTTCCCTTGGCACAAGGTTCATCCTTGGTGCAGGTGCCTGTGTGAGTCAGGCAGTTCAGCTGAAAGGGGAAAGGTGTGTTTATCGCCCGCAGCAGAGCTGCTCTTCGCTCCCCAAGGAGCTGTTATGAAAGGGGTGAAGAAATCACTTATTTTAAAAAGCTGGCACTGGTGAAAGCCAAGGACACCTGGATCTTACCCTGTGTTTTGTTCCCTTTGTTTGTGATTTTGCCAGAGACAAGCCAATGCAGCAATTGTGGCTTGTAAATGAGGTGTGGCCGTGACTTGGCTGGAGCGTGGATCACAGCAGTGATCTATATTTAGATCACTCATTTCTTGCCAGATGAAGTAAAACATTAAAAACAGAAGCTTAAATAAATACAACAGAAAAACCACCATGGGAGTGAGTTGAGCAGTGACCCAGTTTACCGGGACATCTTCATGGGAGACAATGTAAGGGTTCTGGTTGCAGAATAGAGATCTAAACAGTATCTCAGTAAGAGCCCATTAGCTTCCCAAAAGCAGGGAGCAGAGATTCAGGAAGAGCAAACTTGGCCACAAGATTAATGCTCATACCATCCATCCCAAGCATCCTTGATGCCAGGTCTGCATCCCAAGCATTCAGACAGAGCAGTGCCTGGACCCCTTGGTTCTGTGACTGCCATCTCAGGCACAACAGAAGCATCCCGAGAGGTGTTCGATGGGACCATCAGTGTCCTTCATGTGACCATGGTGTCCAAGCAAAACCCTGCAGGATTGCTTTCATCATGGGTGAGATCTTATAGAATGGAGCAGGGAAGATCAATCAAAAGATTTGCTGTCACAGCTCATTCTCAAAGCACACCCAGCTCCAGTGCTTGTGGGGATGAAAGGGCCAAATCCAAAGCTCCCATCTTGCACACGGGAATATGGCTCCTTTTCCTTTGAGTTTACCCTGGGCAAGGGCCAGAGTTTGTGGGTGGCTTTGACACAACTTCAGTGAAGACAGGTTTTTTTTTCCTTGCTTTTGTGAGCCAAGGACAAAGCTATGTACCCTTGAAGCACATTTGGGGACAAAAAAAGGGGACATCTGGGGGCAAAAAACTGTATTCCCTAGGCTACCTTTCACTGAATCACACAAGAAAATAAAATTTACCCTGATCCTCACCCTTCCACCTGCTTTCTCATTACTCCTCCTTCATGCCATATTCAGTTATGCTTCATTTACCAAGCCATTACACTGAATATTTGGCTTTCTCCACATCTGAGTGGGCAGGTTCTCCCCCCTTTAGTCTCCAGGAGCATAGGGAATGCTTTGAAGCCAGGGGAGAACACTGGCACCACACACTATGTTGTGCAGTAGGCAGGAGGAGATGTATGTCCTTCTTACAGCAGCTAAAACTCAACTCTCTTTTTCTTTCTTTTTTTCTTCACCTTTCAAGGAACTCATTGAGGTTGACAGTGAAGTGGTGTTTGAACTGGCTGCGTACATCTTGCAGGTAAGCACCGACCTGCTCTCACTTTGTGCTTCCTCATGCTGCATTAAATCTTTTGATTTGCCAGATCCACAACGGCTCTGTGGAAGTGTAGGGGTTCCCTCACTTGCCAGAGAAAGATGTCTTTACACAGTTTTCTTCGTTTCTACCAAAATGGGTACAGAAGGCTCTCAAGCCAGACCTCTCCATGCAGGTAGCGGATACTACTGCTCAACATTTTGCATACAGGAATGTGTACTGTGTTTGCACCAACACAGATATCCAAGACCCTGGGGTACGATGTACAGCCAGAGAAAATCTAAATGATGAATGCAGATTCCTAGGTGAAACCCATATGCAATGGGTTCTTCTCCAGTGACCCTCCTTGCATTTGTTTTCCCAATGGGGTTTGGGCCTCCAGTGAGCTCCATAAGTTTCTACATATGCAACTGTCTGTATTCTCCAACGTGGGCAGAATGGCTTAAAGACTTTCCAGAATATTGTCTTTGGAAGTTCCGCTCTTCAAGAAGAGGGAAAAGGGTCAGAGGGCAAATGACCAGCAGCGTTTGGTAAATATCTGGTTCCCAGAAAAGAATCTTCTCAGGGTAACGAAGGTGGGTTATGTGAAAGTTCTCTTTTTAGGAGCATGACTGTGGGAGCAGATCAGGCATAATTGTCAGATGATCCTTGTTCCCCTTTCTTACAGTCCGATTTTTTCCCATCAGCCATGAAGCTGTGAGGAGCTGTGTGAGCAGACAAGCCAGCTCATCAGAGTGCACTAATAAATAGCAATGCACTGCAGTGCTAGAGCACTTGCCATGTTAAAGAAGCAATTAATGCGTAGGGATTTGAACCGTCATTAAGATCATTTTGTGTAACAAAAGTGGAGCGAGAGAGTCAGGATGGGGGACTCAATTAACAGCACATTATAGAAACTGCGTATTGGCTGTTGGGGGAATACACATCAAACAACGGGCCCATTGTGAGGAGCAGCAATGGGGTTTTGAATCTATTGTCTGCTCATCCTAATGAATAACTTACGTGCTTAGTAATTGTACAGCCAGATCCAGAGTTCCTGCCGTAACCCTTGTTGCTGGGATTGTTTCTTGCCACAAACACAGGATGTTACGTGTATTCCTGTAGTAGTTTGATGTGTAACTTAATGAAAACAGTCAAAACAAGCCACACCTCTGCTCTCTGTAACCATAAATTACTACAGCCCGTGTTTGTGACAGGATCCAAGTAAAACAAATGGGATCATACTGCATTTTGTTCTACTTCTCGCTGCAGCATTTAGGTCAAAGCACTGAAGTATGAAGAATATACCCTACAAAATTGTTTTTTGAATTTAGGATGCTCATCCCTGTGCAGGCCAGGGCATATCCTTTGGGCTTTGCTACGTGTTGAACTATCATCATGTCATGCTCGAGGACTCCTTCCTATGAACCAGAGAAGTGCCTGTCTGTCCTTCAGTTCACTCAGAGGAAAATGGGAAGATAGTAAAGATTTGTCAGCACTCAAGTGATTTAGTCTGCAGCCTTATTCCAAATTGTTTTATTACCAGAACAAATTAAAGTACCACCAAAGCTCTGAACTTTACCCCAGCCCCAGGACTGAAACACCACTGGACGTGGGCTGACATGCTTTGTGGGTAGATGGATGGATGTAAAGACAAAAGACCTGAATGCAAAACCCAGTCTTCTTGGCAGTGGAAATTCCCTCATTGCCCAGATTACTTTCTTGCACTGCACTTTCTGTATAGCTGGTGGCAAATGAGGTGCTTTAGCATGAATCGTAGACAGTCATATTGTCTGTGGAAAATACAAAATGCATGTTAAATCTCTTGAGGAGGGCACTCACCAGATTCTGAGGGTTTGCCAGGTATGCTGTAAGACTCAGGTACTAATATAACTACTGGAGTGGAACATTGTCCAGCCTTTTAACATCAGGCTGTAATGGTAATAAATAGAAATATCTAGATATACAAGCAAGGGAGTTAAATACTCCTCCAAACAGCCAGCAAGGAGTTAAAGAAACCTGTGTCTTGCATCCTCTTGAAAGCTGACAGTCAGCAAGCTTTTTGAAAGTCTAGGTACTAAAAGATGGTCAGAATACTTGTAAAAAAAAAAAAATTCTCAGAGGCTACAAGGCCACTGAGATTTCAGAGATCTCCTAGTAATGTAGCATCCACATCAGCCCAAAAAAATTTAATTACTAGCATTACTTCCTACGGCTTCTTGGGTATCCACTAGCAGAATGAGGAATCATCTGGCCCTGTATTAGAAACCTTTTGTTTGTTAATCTGCCCAGCTCACTGCATGTATCATGGCACTTGACATTAGATACTGGTTCCAAAAAATACATGAGGAATCAATTACAACAGGAAATTGCTGCTAAATGAATTTTGCAAATGGAAAATCTCGAAGAGCCGTTTTCTTCTCTTTTATTTTTTTTTTCATTTTTTAATTGTAGATTTTTAATTTTCTTCTTTGTTTTACAGGAGGCAAAGGGAGATTTTTCAAGGTAGGTGAACTTAAAAGTTTTTGCCACTGTGTGCTGTGAGAATGAATCTGGTAAAATCACTGTGTGAGCCATGGGACTCAATTGTAGCTGTGTAGTGATTGCCTGTGTGAGCAATGGAACTCTGTGTGCATGGCTAACATAGACAGCGGGTTTCCTGATAAAATTTCTCCACCAAACACAGCCTTGGACCAGAGTATGCCTTGCAAACAGCATTGTTTGTGATTTTGTTGTTGACAAATCTCATTATGTGCTCATGAAGCTCAGGAAACAGACTAGTCTTCGGAAGGAAATTGCTAAGGAAATGACTCTACGATCACTGTTATATCACAGATCCAGCCAGAAGCAACATTAAAATTCCATGACTAATTGATATTTCAGCTCAAATTTGGACAGAGTTCTCAAAATCACAGTTTAGATAATTGGTTTTGTTGAACTTCCGCTGTCCCTTGAGCCAAACCTTCAGACTTACTGTAAGAAATTTGAAGAGGTGACTGTACTTGGTGTTTTAGAAGACTGTTAATGAAATGCCCATGAATTATCATTTAAGTTGACAGTATCTGTCATTTGCACATAAGTAGCAACCAAAGGTCAGGTGGTTGTTTGATGTCACTTGTAAGAAAGATGAAAGTTCTTTGTGTGAAGCTCAGGAGAACTGATTATGTTAAGCATTTCACAAAGTCCATATATTACTTTTGCTGACCTGAGCGTGAGTTCAGCTGGAGGACCACAATATCCACAGAAGTTAGTTTCAGAATGGGCAGTGGGTTGAATTGCCAGATGAGCCTAAAGAGATGTCTTAATTTTGCCAGCACTGAGATACACTGAGAGCTGACTGTAATGATACGAGGCTGTGAATAACAGGCAGGATCCACCATCTGGTGGTCTGGGACTTCTAGCCAGCTAAAATTGAGACAAATCAGTGAAAAGGAACAATGCATTGCAGATATTGCCTGTCTGTCATGGAATCTGAGCTGACAGAAGGTAACCTTTGCTAAAAGGAAGTTTAAGTTCTGCCATATCATTTCTCAAAACCTTAACTTGCAAAATCCCGTCATTCATCTGACCACAGAAACACAAGGCCAGTCTTGCTTTGTTTTTCAGTTCCACTGAATAACTCAGCTATCAGAAGTGTTTATTTAGAGGGTACTGGAATGCATGTGGCCCTTTGACTTTTCAGTCTGGTTTTCAATGCACTGCCAAATGCTCAGTCCAGAAGAGTTGGGCCAAGCAGAGTTTTGCCTTTCAGACCTGTGATAAACCACATCTTCCACTGGTTTTGCTATAAAGAACAATATTTAATGTTTTGCAGAATATCTTGGATATGATAAAAACACACTCAGAAAGTGTACATTTAGACACAGAATAGAGAGGAATCAGATAGCTCTGAGTAATAGGACTGAAAGTATTTTATCTTTGAGTATCCACTTTCACACCAGAAGTGGAAACAGCCAGTGGAAAGCACTCATCTGCTAAAAGTTGTCTGATGTCCCTTTTATTAAAAGGAATGGTTGAGTTTATCGTAGGCCACAAAGAAATGAGGAATCCTCTCTGAGGGCACAGAAGATTCCTCAGCCCATGGTGTTAATTGCTGCCTCCACATCAGTGTAGCAGTCATCACCATCACCAGCCCTATTAAAACAGCTCTCTGTTCTTTCCACCTGTGGATCACAGTGGCTTGAAGTGGAAGGGGAAATCCTTACATCCAAGTCAGGCAGAGATAGGGTGTCATAACAACAACTTGTTGATACTTCCAGGGATCTTAATTTCAGAATGGGCTTTGATGACAAAGCAATCTGCCATAGTAGTGCAGTTTAAAGCCTATTCTTGGACAAAGGTAGAAGAATGCCACCCTGACCCTCAATGGTGTGGAGGACTTGGCATCTCCAGCGATGTCTGTCCAGCAGCTCCCCTCTAATGTGCGCTGACATGGGTTTTATGTGCTGGGTGAGATCCAGGTGCTACTGAAGTCACCATGAGGTCGTTGTGGTCATGATTTTGCCTGCTGAGACTTGTGGTTATCATATCAGCAGTGTAAAATCTGGGAAATCGAGCCTGGGGTCAGCCAGAGGAACTGCAGATGAAGGCAAATGTTCTGACTTCTCTTAGGGATGAAGTTAGCTTCAGTGTTTGAAGTTAGTTGGTGCTGAAATATGGTTTAAAGCAGAAGTGGCTACTCTTGGAAACAGAGAAGCTTTGCAGTCTTGAATGTCTTGCTGCTGAGATTTAAGTGTTGTGCATGGCAGCATATGTTGTGTGAAGGTTGAACTTTTGAACTCCTGCTTTGTTTTTTAAGAAATAATTTAATTCTAAAGGGTTGCATGCTTGGAGCACAGACTGCAGCTTTCCCACACCTGTCCCGTCTACTGCCACCATCAGATTTATAGCCTGTGATCTGGCCCTGATCCAGAAAAGTACATAAGCCCTGGCTCATTCGTAGTGATGGGAGAATTGCTCTTCCCCTTGGGAGCCTTCCTGTGACTCACTGCAGATCACCTCAGGTGCTGGGACAAGTCAAAGCCAAACTGTCACAATTTCAGCTGCAGGTTGGTACTTGCCTGCGGTGGCCAGAGTGTGATTACCTCCAAATCCCACTGCAGCCAGGTGGAGCTGGTCCAGGACTCCTGAATGCAGTTACAAGTCTGCTATTTGGGCCTCATGGGAGCTCCAAAAACAGAATCAATCTTACCAACTCCTAACAGTCAGCTTTCTATCTGTGAACTGATACGTCTGCAATGACAGCGGCTCCACTGCTGTTTTTGAGGAAATCATCCCATGCCTCAGAATAATCACTGTGCTCATAGTACTCCTCTTTACTTTGAAAAGGGGCTCCTGTGCCATATCAAACACATTCTACACCCATTGGTAGGGCATCATCATGCATGTTATCACTGATTCTTGCCACCTTGGGCATCTCAATGACTCCCAGTGTTTGGTAAGCCTGGAGAGCACACAGTCCAAGTCACCCTCATCTGTTTTGAGGTAAGATGCCACAGTAGCCCTGACAGATCAGTTTAGCATCTGTAGTGGGCAATTCTTCTAAGCTCTTTTCTATTTCTAATGTGTGTTTCATTTCAAAAACAAGCTCATCAGAAATCCTTGAGGTCCTGAACCTGTTTATATCAACTAAGACAAGTATTTCTGAGTTTGTTCAGAGTGGCCTCGTCCATCTCTTAGTTGGTAAAGTTTTAGGCAGAGTGAGGTTTAAAATAAAAAGCTATTCTCCTTAAGAAGTTCCTAGTCCTCTGCACTGAAGGAGTGGTTTTCACATTATTTAAGAGAATCCCCAAATGCTTCAGCCAACAAGACTTAAATAGGCTTACATTTGGGTTGAGACATACCACTGAGTTTAAGACAATCAGGTATCCCTGTTCAGCTGATTCTTGGGCTGAACAAAACACTTAAGATTGGATTTGTGCTTTTCAATATTAGCTGCAAACATTTTGACTTCAAAGGCAAAGAATCACTTGTATGAAGCTCCTAAACAAGCACCCTGCAGACTGGCCTAAAGGTTATTAGCTCAAGCTAATCTTGTTTCTAGCTGGAAGCTGAGTCACACTTGGTTGGCAGAGCATGGGCAGGACAAATTTCAGTTCCTTAGATGAACACAAATCCTACAGGTATGCAGGCCTCTAGGCCTACACAGAGGAATGATCTGGAGTGCCCTGGCTAATTTGGGGAGGTATAAAATAGCATATTGTAAAAATAACTGAGATTTTTTTCCCCTAACTTAATCCTACCAGATTTAGAGTCCAGTCCTAAAATCTTTGGGAAACTCACACCAACTTTGGTTGTAAATGTTTGTAATCCAGTTCTTCAGCCTGAAACAGCATGTATGTCAAAGCAGCTGCAAATAACATATCCTGATCATTTGTCCCTCAGTTTGGGGTGGGGAAAGGAAAACCCCTGAGTGAAACAAAATCCGGAACCATTGCAGCCAGCTCCTCATTGCTAGATTTCTTCCAGTTAAGCAGGATGAGGCATTTCAAGTGAAGTCCAAGTATCTCCCAGCAACATATGAAAGAATAACAAGGGAGGAAAGCTAACAGCCAGTTTCCTGTTAAGCAGAATTTCACAACAATTTCAAGGTTTGGGCAGATGGTAATCTAACATAGTTTTAGGCTTACTTTTCTTTCTGTGTAACCAAGTGACATTTAACCAATTAGAATGTATTAAAGGGTTACAAAACCCAGGCTGCATTCTTGCAGCCTAATGGAGAAGATCCTAAGCACTGTACTTCAAACAGTGCCATCTAATCTGAGAATCTGAGACTCTGCATTTCCTCTTGCATTCTGCAGAATGAATTACCATGCTGAGAAGAGTTGACAGCTTGAACCTGTAGTTTTGTTTGGTTACTGATCATTGTTATTACAAATGCTGGAAAATGTATGGGTTTCCTGAGACAACTGCATATGTAATCTTGCTCAAAGTTATTGCAGCCGGTTTGCAAAAACGTGTTTTTCACAAAATGCTTATGAAATGGCTGGGTAGGCATTTTGCCCCCATGTGTAGGTAAAAATAGTGAGAGGTGGTTACTAATTTATTTGAAAAAGACTCATTAAACACGCAAGTACCAGAACTAAAACCAGAACCAGGAGTTCCGATTTCTAGGTCCGTTCTTCAGTCAGTCAACCTTACTTCTGGCTATCTAACCAGCTTTCAGGGACCCATGCAAATGGCTTTTCCAGTTCAGTTTTCATACTGTTATTCAGTCTTTTAAATATTATAATTTCCACCATAGTGCAGGAATAAAGTGGTCCAGGGGACACAGAGAAAGTGTGTTTGGACCCTTTCCCCCGCACATTAACAAATCGGTACCAAAAGCACCCTTCTGTATATATCAGCCCTGGAGGTTGGACACTTCTGAATGTAAAATAAATGCAGCAAAAGTGACCGGATTAAACAAACACTTCCTAAATGCAGTAATAAAATAAACTCACTGAGATACTTCACTAGAAAGAGCATGAAATGCACCAAGTACAAAACCACTAGTGATCCTGTTGGAAACATTTTAAAAATTGAGGGGTTTGATATTTTAAAAAGAGCCAAGAGCAAAGTGACCTCATGGCCACTAGTTCAAATGCAACCTGAATCATTTTTTTTTCCATTTTCTTGATTTGGCATCCTTTTGGGAGTCTAAATTCATTTGTCTTGAGATGAGTCTCACCAGAAGACTTAGTGAATACAGGGACCAGGGAATGAAATGTGTTTTTGCTCCTGGAAGTGATTACCCAAAATACATTTGGCACTTTGAGGCTGTGAGGCACTACCTTTATGATATTTTCTAGGTACCGAACAGAAATGTTAATCCCACCCAACAGCATCACTAAGAATGTCTTTTTATCTGATTCTTAAAAGACTTTATCATAGTGCAAGCAAGCTTTGCACCTCACTGACAGAAAAGGCAGAGCTGACTGGTGTTAGCCCTTTCTTTTATGGGAGCCATTACTGACTCAGGCTTTTCCCAGACTCTCCAAGATTGTTTGTCACCTAATCTTGCCCTATTTGATAGCTTTCTGAGCTCAGAAAGTCCCTGTTTGGAAATTACTCTGTGCTTTCCCAGAAAAGTGTTGGAAATTTCTCAACTTCCTTCTATGAGCAGCCAGCCTCAAAAAATCACCACTTGAGGAGCAGTTTCTGCCACTCCGAGTTCTATTCTTTTTTCCTCAGTTTCTTTGAAAATGTCAAAAAACCTCAGTAAGAGCTGACTATGCACATGCTGTGGAGGAGACGGCTCTGGGCAGACCCAGAAAACTCTAAACAGCAGCAGCTTGTTTTCTGGGCTGTCAGTCACAGAGCAGAGCAGCCAGATCAGCAGATAACACAGAGCAGAGCAGCTTCTTGTTCAGACTTGTGCAGATATTTACCTACCGTGGAAGAATAAATCTGAATAGTTGTTGAGCACTTGCACTTAGTCGGGAAGAGCTCTCTGATGGTCAAATGACCATGGGATTTGGGCAGGAGTGGGTGTTCAAACACTGTTTGTCAAAAGCCTTTTGGCTTGGCATATGAGGTGCTACTGAGTGGTTTTCAGTGTGCGTAGCACTGCAGTGGTTGCCTTAGTCATTTCTTTTAAGTGCTGTTCTACACATCTTCACTCTGCAAAATTTGAACCTAATTGAGACTTGGACATCTCTCACAGATTTGTCTTGACTAGAAGTTGTGGTCCTGTTTTAAAACTACTTAATTGATTGTCAGGGAACTACCATAATAATAAATGTCTGTAGACATGCCCAAAATGCCTGCTACAGGATTTATGTCAGTGGTTTACCCCTATGGCCCAACCTAGCAATTAACCTGCAGACTCCAATTAAGACAAACCCACCGAGGTCTCAGGCAGAGCCTGCTGCTGGGATGTGCAAACAGAGAAATGCTGTGGGAAGATTTTTACAACTGAAGCAGGATCACCTCTCTACAAGCCATCCTACAGACTGTCACAGCAAGAAGAACAAAACCCAGGGTGTCCTGGAATGTCCAAGGGCTCCTTGAGTCTTTGCAGATGTTAGGATGTCTGGTCTACAGCTATAGAGGCCAAGACTACCTGTCTGCCTGGCTACCAGCCCCATGGGAGAAGCCAGTGGGCTGGGAAATCTGGAGGTCTGGAAGAGGTGTCTCTCTCTGCAGCTCCAGGACAGCCACACTTTTGGGGAGGATAAAACAAAAGGGTAAAAGAAGGCAGAAAAAACTTCTACTAAAAAGTAAGCCAATAAACATGAATTCTTTGGCACTCCTCAGTGTCCTGTCTGGCCTTCTTGGCTGTGTATTTCTACAATTTTAAAAGTTAATAGCAGCAGTGCCTTCCTTCCCAAGCCTTTGAGGCTTTTTTTTTTTTTTTATGTGCACGCAATTCCTTGTGTGTTTAAAAGTGGTCAGGGAGGCATTTGGGGTTTGTAGGAGAAAATCCCACGGTTTCATTTCATCTGTGAGAATCTGCTTCCCGTTTCATGAGCCCTCCGTGCTCTCTGCTGTGCAGTGATGCTGCTCCAGCTGGCCAGTGTGGCTACTGGAGGTTGCAGGGAGAAGAATGAGCAAGGTGATTGTGCCTGGTCCCGTGCAGGGTTTTGTGCAGCAGGACAAATTCAAGCTGGAGTCTTAGCAGTGAAGATGTTGTACAAAGACCAGGTCACTGGGCAAGAGGCTAAGAACAACCTGGGATGCTAAGAAAGCAAACCATTATTTCTTGCAGCAGTTTGTAATGCACTAAATAAAGATGTTTTATTGCAGCTGAAAGAATCACTTTCTCTTCTCTTCCCCTTGTTTATTTTTTCTGTATATGAATATGTCCGTGGGACCCTGCTCAATGACATGTGACATGGTGGCTTTTGTGTCCAGTCATTGGTAGGAAGCTCTTCAGCATAACCATCTGGGAGAGCTTCTCTCCAATTTTGATAATAGAGGGAAAAGTTAACTGGGCTGCCATAAAACAAATAAAGAGAGGAGAAAAAGGAAACCCCAGTGCCTTTTGTTAAGGAGGAACAGATGTACAGCCATAGCAGCCTGCCAGCTAGGTCAGGTCATATCAAATATTGTGTTTGTTTTCTTGTAGTCTGATCCTCCTTTTGAACTCTCTTTCAGCAATGAAGTTGTAAGGAATGAATTAAAGAAGCTGCCAGCCCTTCCGACACCGGCACTGAAGGAGCATCCTTCCCTCGCCTACTGGTAACGTATCTCTCTGCTCAGCAGCTTTGCAGTGTCTTGTGAAGGACCTGGCTCTGGCAATAGGTGCTCTGAGAGTGGAAGTGGGGTGCAGAGATTCCTGCCTTCTAGCTCTGGGTTTGTCACCGACTCACTGCATGAGTTAACACAAGTGGAACCACCACGCTGGGCCTCAGTTTCCCCGTCTGCCCAATGTCTGGGTCAGAAAATTCACTGTAAACATGCAGGTGTCCTGATGAAATCAAGAGGCCTAATGTGCCATTTACTTTGTATCTGTGGAAGAGTTTTCCTGTCTGGAAATGTCATGTATTGCACTGCTCTGTGTTATTTTGAGTGATCCAGTTTCATCTTGCAAATCCTCTCTGTGTGGCACAGATGAACTACAAGGGATACATTTTCTCCTTTTCTATGAACCAGGTGATGTTTGGAGGTGCTTGTTTGCTTTGTCTTTATTGCACTGGGAATTAAATCCAGGGTAGGAGCAGGATCACAATTAAATTTTATACACCCCACACATAGATTTTTTGTGCCACCCTGCATATCCCTGTTATCTGTGCAAATACAAAAGTATTTGGGGAAAGACTTTTCATTAAAAGGGAGATGCTTTCACTTGATTTTCTGCTTGCTGCTCTTTCATGTTTGCCTTTAAAGCATTAGGCTGCAAGCCTGGGGGTGGAGAGAACTCCTTTGTCTGCTACTCTCTTAATTTCTGCATTTTGGTAAATCTGAGGATGGCAGGGGGGAAATAAAACAGTTCATAGGATATGATTGCAGTTCTTCCCTTTGCCAAGAAGGTCATCCACTTCTCCTAGCATGGCTGCAATACTGGAATTAGCTGTAGCTCATGCCAAGCCATGGGCCAGCTAGTCTGTGAGGTCTCACTTTATGAGAACTTTAGAACATCAGAAGAGATTCAGAGTCCCCAGCTGAAATCAGGATCACTAACACAAAAGCTGAGGATCATCACAGTGTCCTGGTGTTTCTCTCTAAGAACCAAATGCAGTCTTTGTGAAAAATTGTAAATGTAGGCTGCCATTTCATTGAAGAAGAATGGTCTTCCTCTTTGGAGCATCTCTTTCCTTTTTCCAAAAAACCACAGACGGTGGCCTGGCTGACTGACAGACTGGGAGCTCAAGCTAAAAGCCATCACGAGAGGAGTGGTGGGAACAAGTAGGCAGTGGTAGGGAAAGCAAATCTGACCCTTCAGCAGCAACATGGCCTGAGGTCTTATTAAAGTGCCCACATAGCAAAAAGAGCTGTGTAAAATATTCATGCTCAGAAGGTATTTGCAGTTATACACGAGGTACAACACTTCTTACAGCTGTACTTAATTTGGGGGGGCCTCTCCTGTGACTGAGAACAAGTCACAGGTTGGGAAGGTGGCGTTGCCAAAGGGGTAATAAAATCAGAGGCCACAGTCCTGTGACTCCCTTGTGATTTCATGTCAGTAACCAGGTCTCAGAGGCCTCTTATACATTAGTAGTTCATTATTTTTTAATGGTGGCTTTGTCCTAAACACCCTCTGAAACGCTGAGTGCTCTCAAGAAGAGGCTGTTGGTGAATCAGACAAAAAGCCTCTAAAATACAGATCAAACTTCAGTGATCTAAGGGAGCAGATTTTTAAAACTGTGTTCTCTGGCATTTCTGCATTTCATGCAGGTTATCATAATGGATACAGATTTCATCCTGTCCTTTTCTGCGTGCAGTCACTTTTATGCTGCAGTTCTTCAGCATAAGCACAAACAGTAACAAGTGAATCTCCCAAATCTGGAAAGAAACTTCTAAAACGTTAGAGGTGGGATGGGTAATGGCTCTAGTTAGTTTAAAACAAACAAACAAAAGAACTTTGTACTATATTTTTATCAGCTGAAATGGATTAAGAGATAATAAAATGTATAATCAAGCGAATACTGTGATACCTTTGAAAAGATGCTATAATAGGTCTGCATGAAATGGCATAACATTTCCATCACACACCATGAAAAAGCCTCACCACTGCTCCTACCAAATGTATTACAGTCGGTGGGATGAGTCCTGGATTCTTACATCAGCACAGTTTGTGCCTCTGACTCCACCGTCATGGAGTCTCCTGGTTCCATACCCTTGCTGCTTCACTGTATTACATTCCTGAGGGTTTATGAACTTCACAACAAAGTTGAAGATTTTAATTTTTATATCATCAAGTTGCTGTTTCCTGCTCTCTACACGTTCATAATAATCAGTTCCACATCTTGTTCTCAAACATCTGTTGGCATCACTGATTACTGGTGAAGAAAAAAAGGGGCTTTTTGGTGGGTTTGTTTGTGTGTCTTTTTCTTCTAAATGAAAGCTGAGCTTCTGGCCCTCCCACACAATCCAGGAGCTGGGCCCCGGAGTTTTGATTTCTCTCGCCCATGCATGGAAAAAACAGACAGTATTTATTATTTTAGACACAAAACTAATCAGAGAGACTGGAGATAACCTTTAGAAAATGTGTTAACTCATGGAGCTCCTTTCCAGCCACTGTCATTGGATTTTATCTCAGTTCAGATCCTCCCCAGCAAACCATCCCAGTACTGGGTTGTCAGTAAGAAAGCCAGGAGGAAATGCAACAGCACAAAACCAATTGCTAGAATACAATTTTCAACAAACCAGGTGTAAGACAGACTTCTCTCAGGTTCACAAAGATCTTGAATGTGAACTTGTTTTTAGCAGCCTAAAGCACCAGTGTTGCCAGAAAACCCACCTCTGAAAATATCAGCTGAAAATCACTATTTAGTGATTTTCTGTAGTTCAGCACAGACCTGAGGCTCTGGTCCTGCTCTTGGTCCTTTGGCCAAAGAGATGCTGGTTGCTTCTGTGGGATAGTGTATGACTGCAAATAAATACATTAGTAAATTCAGGAATATAATCAAAATGGACAAATCAGGTTAGAAGCAGAATAACACTAAGGAACAGCAATGAGTGGACAGCTATTTAAAACAGCTCAGTGTGCTGGGAAGAGAGGGAGGGAACAATTACCTTTGAAAATCTGGATCTCATGATGAGAAACTCAGAGCCTGCATCTGCACGCAAGTTGTCTGCTGTCCAGTCCTGTAAGCTGCTGGGGCAGGAGGGATTTCTTGGCGGTTCTAAAGATCTTTATCAGAACTGTCTGCTGCAGGATATCATCCACATACTAATTTCTGCAGCTTTGGGGGGAATGTTTTATGAGCTGGCAAACAGACGATGGTGCTCTGGCAGCCCCCCTGTCTCCACATTAGTTAAGCATCCTCTGCCAGCCCTGCACTGTGAATGAGTTTCTGTGTCACCAACACAGCAGCAAGGCAGAGCAGGGGGAGAGGAGATGTCAGCTGGTGGTCCCAGCAGTGTCCCAGCACTCTCCCAGCTGTCAGTAGCAGCATGGCAGCCGCCTTGAATGAACAGCTGAAATGACAGGGGAGCATGTTTATAGGCCCTGCTAATGCTCCTTTTGACCCGTGAATGATGTTGCTTGTTTTCCCTGGCACATGCTGGGCTTAGCCCTCTGTCCCAGAGCTGGAGGCAGAAAGTGACTTCTGTGCTGGACAACCTTCTGTCACACAGCTGAGGTGGGACTGATTTGACTGTGTAGGTTTTTTCAGTGTGGATCTCACTGTCTGAGCTGGGTGCCCTCAGCTCCCTTTGCTGTCAGTGGAGAGAAGCAACAGTAACTTCCTCCCAAGGAAGCCATCCAAGATAAACTGGATGAATCATGCTCTGGAGTACCTGTTTCTTTCCCTTAAGTGTGACTAGCCCAGTGCTGCAGAAGAGTGAAAGACAGCAGATCCCTCTCCTAAATATTCATGGCTCGATTGATAATTCAGGTTTTACTTTTTTTTCCAAAAGAAAGAAGAAACAAGGATCATAACTTTTCTGGAACCTAACGTCTGTACACCTCAAAACATTACACAAAGGGAGACCATCAGTATCCTAAGAGAGCAATGGAGGCATTTGTTTAAGAGAACTGGATAGAGCCTGGACTATCCCACATTTTAGCATGGGCTACAAACATAACTTTATTCATTCTACTGTTCAGGAAGGCTCCCTGACATCTGTTCTGTCCTTTGAAGGAAATGGGCCATCGATTGGCTTTCCTACTCCAGGAGCATGGTCTGGGACCATATCAATTATTTTATAATAATCATTTATAAGAAAGCAGAGCACATCTGGAATCACATTGTAGGTACATGTATCCTTTCCTAGAATGGCAGCAATATGAGAGCTTGATCTGTGCAATAAACTGCACAAGAGTGGAAACCAAAGCTGAGTGTTTTCCACTGGAGAAACTCTGTTGTTTTCTAAGAAGTCACTCCTGGTTTGTTCTTGTCTGAGGCAGAGGAATTGCATCCACATGTAATCATGATTTTAAGAGGTAATTTCAAAGGGCTGTAAGCCCTCTCTGTCTATCTTTTTTATTAAGAATGATGTTTTTTGGAGATCTTCCAGTACTGAACACTCATGTAATTCAGTTATTGCTCCAAAAGTAATCCTGTTTATGGTAATCATGGCAGGAGACCCAGGCTCTGCCTTCATGTGCACGCCCATAACATCTGTGGTACTTGCTTGGATCAGTGCACTGAATATGGTTTCATAGCTGTAGAATTTACAGCTTACAGATCATTTCCTAAGCATTAAATTTATGCTGAGGGATTTATTGTGAGAGCTGGACCATTCCTTTCCTCATGTAATTTGTCACTGGCTCAGTCAGCACCCTGTACCTGCTATGGCCTGCTGGTGGGACATTGCTTAACCTTGCCCCAGAAAGAGCCCTTTTATTTTTGCAGGATGAGTGGGGGAAGTCACTTGGTGAGAGTACAGAAAGCAGTTCCTCCAGACAAATGATGGGCTTGTGGGGGAACAGCTGGTCCTGCCAACAATCCAACAGACTACCTCTGTTGCTCTGTGCTGCCTATGTTGGTGTTTCTGGTTCTCTTCCTTTCTCTCTTCATTACCAGGGATGCACAGTCCTGGGCTCCCCTGTGCCCCTTCTTTCTAAAAGAAATTCTTTCGGCTCCAGAGGTTTTGGCTTTCTTTCTAAAAGAAATTCTGTCCTCTCTGGCACAGGGATACATATGGGGAAGGCAGCAATGGAAAGATGCAGTCGTGTTAGCCGGGCTAGTGAAACACTTTGCAGTTTTCCACAAAAATCCCCTGTGGGCATCTCTAAGCAGTTGGGATGAGGTCATCTACCAAACCATCGCACCCCGCTGTGCTCCTTCACATGGTCTAGGCAATGCAAATAGCTTCAGTTCCGCCTGGGGAAGGATTACTGCATGGTGGACAGCCTTGGTTGCTTTTAAATGCCCCATTAGGGGCTCCCACTGGACCAAGGAAATGCAGGGAGGGGGGAATGCCAGTGCGCATTGCCTTGAACCACACACAGCATGATGGCATGGGATAGACACCTCCATACTGCTGGAAGCTTATGTGGGGCTGGGTAGGGAGGGCACAAAGGTGGCATAGAGATAGTTTAGGTTTCCCTCCTCTTGAGCTGGCAAGGTCTGTACAGCATCTTCAGGGGACTCAACAGATTCCCTGTTCTTGGTGTTACAACATAAAGAGCAAGAAATGGGGTTTAGACTTGAGGACTTGAGTACTCTGTCCTGCCAGCGTAACAGAGCTGGTCCTGTGGGCATTATGTTGGATCCCTGGCTTATACTTTGCTAGCACAGCTGACTGTATGCATCAAATAGCTCTGGTTCTGTGCTCTCCTGCTGCCCATTCACTGGAGAAGAAAGAATGATGTTCTTCAATCTGTCATTTGGGTCATGCTGATCTCTCATGGGTGCTCCATCTCGCCTGTGTATCAGTACACACTCAGGACTGTTCTCTAACACAGAGGCCCACTGGTGTGGAACAGCCTCCATGTTTCACTGTGGAACACATGAAGACATGGTTCACGTCTTCTCTAAGACATGAAATGATCTTAGTCTCAGTGTTGGGAACGGGGCCTGGCTCATGCCAACTCCCAGTGCACAGCCAGGAGTTGCCTGGGAGAATGCAAGTTAGTAAAACCTAAAAAGTAAGCAAAGGCACATCAGTACTTTAACAGTCAAGTGACCCAAGTTTGAGTGCCTTGGAAACATCCCCTGCCACTGTTTAAGCTGCTGATACAGATGTTGCCTCTGTGTACACTAGGAACTTAAATCCCTGCTGAGAGAGATTGCTCCAGAGTACTTCCACTAGTGCTTCTGCAAGTGGTTTTGTGCAGTTACAGGCAGGAGTAATCTGTGAGTCTTAGGGCTGCTACTGGCCACCAATTTCTGAGCAGTTTCGCCCATCTTTCAGAGGACGTGATGGGCTTGAAAAGAAATTGCACCAAACAGGGTAAAGCAGAGCTGGAGCAGCTTCATCACAAATCTGTTTGCCCACAATGTAATATCATGGACATCGTTTGTAGATAAGGAAAGGATTGGAGAGAGAGAAAAGTCTGTACAAGTAGGCACCATGTCTGTGGGGAAAAAAAGTTCTTCCAGAAAACCAACTCTTAGAAAACCATTTCTTTTCTCAGTCTGTGACTCCTGCTTGTTTACCCCAGGCTGCACCAAATCCCCTAATCTGATGGGTTTGCTTAGCATCTTTTGATTCCCTCAGTCAGTAGCTGTGTTAACAGAAATATCTCTTCACCTTTTGGTGAGACTCTTAGTCATTATAATGCCAATTTATAAGATATCAATTTTTTTCCTTTCCAGTGAGGATCGAGTCATTGAACATTACAAGAAACTAAATGGTCAGACAAGAGGTCAAGCAATTGTGAAGTAAGTGAAATAAGTGTGATTTCTTTGTGACCTTTGTTTTATATAGAAAACATTTATAGAGGACTGTATAGGTAATATAAATAAATATAAATACAACATGTAACTATGCTTCCCATCTCATGTTGCTTCATTTTTAAGTATTATGTACTTAACTATTTATTTATCAAAGCATTTTTTTTCAGAGCATCCTCTCAGCTTCTCACACGTGTTATTCTCTTCTGTGTTGTTTTGCAGTTACATGAGCATTGTAGAATCCCTCCCAACATATGGAGTGCATTATTATGCAGTAAAGGTACGTGCCACAAGAAGGGTTGTTCACTGAATTAAACCGTTGTTGGAGAGGGAGGGAGAGAGGTACAAGCAGCCATCCTGCTTTCAGAATACAATACACTGCTACTAAAGTCTCGTTTCACTTCCTGTGGTAGGATAAACTTATTTCAACTGTTGTGTGCGTGTTTAGTAAATACAGCTCCAAAGAGGAAAATCCTGCTTTTGGAGATAAAACTCTTGCAGCTCCATTGTGCTGGGGTGCTCAGTGCACAAGCAGCAGCAAGCTCTGGTGATGCCAGTGAACCCCCACCAAAGAGACAAGCCAGACCCATCTCTGGCAGACACGATGCTTCACTCCTTTTTGTAGTTCCAGGAAGTCAGACTTTTCCCAGCCAGCAGAAACATGAGCAACTAGGTAGGGCCAGCCATGATCTGCACACTGCAGCTCCCCTCACATGAGATACGTGGATTCCACACAGGTATTCATGAAATCCCTCATTTCTTTAGTCCAATGATTTATCACCAAAACTTCCAGCCTCATATTATTATTATTACTTCCTTGCCTGACCAGCTGCATAGGGTTGTTATTTTTTTTAAGCAGAGAAATCAATAAACATATAAAGAAGGCTAGATACACACTCCCCAGAGCATACTCCCTCATTTATCACCACTGAAGTTTTGATGTGTTTTGTCATTATCTCTGTGTGCAGATCATATGGGTTTTCATGCATCTGTAATGTCTTGCACACATGAGGTACCATAACAACACAAATATCCGACTGTACCTGTCCCAGGACGTGAGTTTCTAGTCTATTTCTGCTAATGTGTACACAGAATAAGGTGTATTATTTTGCAAAAAGCATTATCCTCATCTTTTCCCAGAGGACAGGATCCCTCCAGCACCCTTCGCACCCAGATCTCTTGGACTACTCTAGATCAAGAGATCAAATCTGCTGGATTGGGCTTGATATTCAATCCTGCAAACACTGGAAAGCTATTCCAGTGAGCTCCCCACAACCAGTAAGCAGCAGTGAGTAGCAGTGAGGCAGCAAATATTGCACATAATAGGTTCTGCTTCTGCCTGATGTGGGGGTTTTCATTTTGCTACGTTTTACCCTGCCACTCTCTATCACATTAACAGAACAGATGTAATTTCATTGAGGACTCCAGCTCAGTAAATTGCAGAGGCTGGGATCAGATATCAGCCATTACTCCATAAGGCCATTTTATTGCACACTCAGACACAAAGCAGTTGGGTCCGAGCCTGTCAGACCTTATCACTTGGTAGCTCTCAGATCCCATTACTGCTGCATTTTCAAGACTAATGCTAAAATCCCTCCACATAATTCAAGTCAGCTGGGTGATTTGCTTTCCTTTCTCTCCAGTCTGAGTGTTCAGACTGGATAATTTACAGGGCAAAGAAAGAAGATGCACCACTGCATAGAGGACTCATGTCAAACCTCCTCACCTTCCCTGACAGCATTTTGAGTAACTTGATCACGTGTGATGTATTTTAAATGGTTTTACATGTCATGGCCAAAAGTGAAACAGATCTCTCCTAAACACCACGGAGTTTAGTGACTTGAGGGAATTTAGCAAAGGGAAATTTAACAGCACCCACTCAAAGATATTGCTTAGAAATAAATATTCACCTTGAACAACAACCTAGGAAATCTCCAGCATTTCACCATCCTATTCAATGTAACTCCGTTTTCTCTTCCAGGACAAGCAGGGAATTCCATGGTGGTTAGGACTTAGCTACAAGGGGATTTTTCAATATGACTACCATGACAAAGTGAAACCAAGAAAGGTAAGTTGTTTACTTTTCTATCAAGGTCTGGGCTTGCCACACATGTTATAGCTCGAGTCGAGGGTGTGATGTACACCAAATGCTGGCATTGATTCATGTGATTTTGAAGGATGTTCACTTTCTCCCAAACTTGTCTGAACATCTGCAAAGAACTAATGGACAAAAGTAGTTCATAATTTATTAAATGTTGTGGGTTTGGGGGGAAATAAGCATCACTTAATCTTGCAACTTATGCTCCTTTTTCTGTGTGGTTCATAAAACATAATGGCAACTGAAGGACTGATCCTCTCAGGAGCTGGAGACCTTCCATTCTCTGGCTATGGCAGGATTAGGGGTGCTCAGCCAACCCTTGATACTGTACTGCCAAGCCATAAATGATCTGAGAAAGAGAGGGTATAAGAGACAGGAAAGCTGCTTCCATTTATTACAAAAAAAAATTGCATGGCTTTCTCAGGACTAGCGTTACATTTGAAAAGCAACAATTTTACTAACTGAAGAGTAAGTGTCAGACCGGGAGGAAAAGTCAACTTTCTTCACATTCCTAAATAAAAAAGGCATTAAAAAGTTTGTGTCCCCTATCTGATTTATTTAGGAACATTACTTTGAAGCAATTTACAAACCAAGTCATGGCACACATAGATATGGTAACAAAAGCTAGAGTTTGGTCAGTGAGGACTAGCCATTCTGGTCTCTTTGTTAGTATTTTCAGTGAAGTTTTCAATGCATCTGAAAACCGGGCTTTGTCTCAGTCCTTCCAAATTGCCTGTGAAAAATCCAGAGAAGTAACGTCCTCTTGATTTGGGAGGTTTTGATTCCCTGAGCCTATCCTATGAGGTGGACCCATGTGTTCTGGTTTTCCTACCTAAGACGCCGTCTAATACGGAAAGTCTCATCCCTGAGCACAGGCCCTGCAGGTGGGCACTCACAGCGTGTTAGCAGCAGTATCTGTTGTGCTGGAAACCCGTGGGGACATCAGGGGACAAGGCTTCAGGCTTCCTAGCAGGCTGCAGAACTGCATGACTTGAAGCTACTAGGCAGCTCTTCTGTGGATGCAAAAGCTTCCACCGTGAATTAATATACTGGATTTCTCTTCACATTGTCTCTATGCCAAGGTCCCCTCCCCTTCTTCCCCCTTTCGCCTCCTCTGGATGCATTCAAGTTAGATATTGCCTGGTGCTCACAGAGAGCATCTTCTATTAAAATAGACATTATAATCAATGTTTTGTAGAAAGCTGAACTGCTAAGGAGGCAGCAAGAGACAACAGGTGGATCAATTAGCCTTTTATTCGCTGAAGGCTATAAATGGGGCTTTTTATTCACTGAAGGAAAGCATGAGAAGAGTAAGGAGGTCTTCACAAAACATCTGTGCTCTAAAAGACACATCTCTTTGGGATCAATCATTACCTGCAGGGCAAGCCATACTCACACATGTGATAGTTTAAAACATGCCTAGGCTAGGTGTTTGCACCCACATATCTCTAGTAGTGCCAACACCCCAGGGAAGTCATGTCCTTTAAAGATGCCTTCAGAAGTCAGTCTTAGGAACAGAAACATTTCTTTGGAAGAAAACAGTGCCCCTGCCATGACAGGACTCAGCCATTCAAAAGCTATAGCAATTATTGTCAACCCCATTGGGATGATCTGGTTGGTGAGGAGCATCAGAAGGAAGGAGAGGAGAGGTTTGGTGCTCAGACTGTATGGGAGGACACAGACTTTTGCATTAGAAGAGCCAAGCCTCCTTTTTCAGCTTTCTCTTCCTTTCTCAGCTGCTCAGGGTGATCTAATCTGTAGCATTGGATTTAGAGCTTGATAACATCTTGACCAGCCTCTCTGTGTCCCCACTAAACTACCTCCAGTGCTCACATTGTCTGTCAAAGCAGGACCTTTAGGCATCTCCAATCCTTTTTCTGCAAGTGTAACCCTAAAAAATAGGGTTCCAATTTTCTCTGTATTAGGAAGTTTTTTGGTTTTTTTTGTCTCAGCAAGTTAAGCATGAAATCCAGGAGATCCAAAACAGTGGTGCTGCCTTATGTACAAACCACGAAGAACTTCTGTGGCTGAGCAGAAGTGGTCATAAATCTAGGAGGGAAGGTTGGGTGGGAAGGGAGAGCAGGAATTTCCGGGCTAGAATTTGTCCATTACCACAATCCAGAGACCACAGGAGTGAAAAGATAGCCTAGATGAGCATTTCTCTTGTTATATGATGCTTGCAAACCCCATCTGTTGGCAGGTCTATTCCAAAATGAACAGCCTAAATCAAGGACAGGACTTGGACAGAGTGGCTGAGACTTTGTTACTTCTCCATGGAGTGATTTTACCTGCTCTGGAGCAAGTAAAAAGACTTCTTACCCTACACAGGTGGTAAAACCCCTCTGGCAAGAGCAGCTCAACTGCCTCAGCAAGGCACAGTGTTTAATCCTCTGCTAATTAGATTGCAAAATTGCACTTGATAACCCTGGTATCTGGGAGCAGCTCACCATAGTATCTGATTCATTTCACTACAACAGCATGGGCTGGTTCAAGCCCTTGCCGTGCAAAAGGGAGGGGCAAACCTGACTGAACTTTCTGCAAGGTAAAATTAGTGGGGGACAGGAAAAGAGATTATGTCTTTTCTGATCCTTATTATTTTGTTCATGCACACTGTCGATGCCAGAAACAAATTGAAAAATTGCAATGGAAAAATAAATCTCCCTGGAAGAAACCCAAGCAGCAAATTGTAGCAAGACACCAGCTGAAACCAAGACATTTATATTAAATGCATATAACAAACTTACTTGTCTTATAAGAGAGATTGTAATGTTTTTCTATATGTCATCTTAGATAGAATTCCATGCTTATTTTGTTTGCAAGGAAAACTGTAACCCACACTAAGCAGCTGAACCTATCTTGGGCCATCCCATTAGCAGTCACTCAAAACCATGTTTTTATGAAATTGCTGGAGTAAATCAGCCATGTGTGTCTAGAAAACTAACCAGGTTTGTCATCAAGTTGGATGAGACTGGAGAGGAGAATTGAGGCTGATGCAGGGCCAGAACCTGCTCCTGCCTGTGCTATTCTCATTCAGGCTTAAGTCCTCCAGAATCATAGGGGATGCAGCTGAGATGGGTATCTAGCACCCAGTCCTAGGTGGTTCAGATGGGAATGCAGGGCTATTAAACTGGAATGCAGTTGTACCTGGGCTGCAGAGACTAATGTGTCTCTGTGCTTCTATTTTTATGTTCCTTCCTGCCTATGCTTGAAGTCTGCAGAATCCCTGAAGCCCCACAAAGCCATCACTTGGAAGCTTATCCTTTTGCTTCTGTATGTTCAGGGCTAGCTCACAGACTCAACAAGCCCTGCCAAAAACTTCCTCTTGAATGTTACCTTTTTAAATGCAGATTTGGTTCTTATCAGTTCAGTGTTAGATATTAAATAATTACGAAAGTTTCGGTGTGCTTCACAAAATCCATCGCTCCAGCAGACCAAGAGGAAGGGAGTATCAAGTGTGGAAAGATGGCTGTTGTCCTGCCAACCATATTCTGAGACATTCTGGAAGTCTGGTATTGGCTTTGTAGAACCAATGTCGTTTGTGTAGCAGCAGTGTGCAGCATCCAGGGTGGGCAGAATCCATCTCCCTGTGTGTAAACTTAGCTTCGACAATCCCTTCCCTGGGAAGAGAACAGCCTTCAGGCTCAGTCTGCCTTGAAAAGGGAAAAAAAACAAAACAAAACAAAACAAAAAAAAACAGGAGTCATTGCCTTGCTGGGCTCTGCCCGTCTTGGGTCAGCACCATCCAGTATTCATGATAAACCAAGCACATTCTTTGGAACCAGGTCTTCAGGCAGCATGTGCCAGCACCACTCTCCTACAAGATGCTGAGGCTGTGGTGACGAAACCCATCGTTTTCAGAGGAGGGTCATTAGAGGGTTTTTCGCTTGAATTGCAGAGCAATTACAAAGACAGCACAAGGCACTGCAGCCCCCCGTGTGACCATTTGTCTGTGAGTGGTGTGCGTCCATTTGAACCAGCAGGCAGGGGTGTAACTCCACTCCATCCCCAGAGACCTGTACACCGAGGAGCAGGGTAGCCTGGAGCTGTGAGATCTGCACGCCCAAGTAGTAACGTTAGGCATATCTCTGTTGTTCTAGTGAGATATTCCCACTGATTTAAGAGCCCAAAGGCATTTCTTAGTGCACACAGCCTAACAGTTAGTAAACGATTAACTCCAAGCTGAAGAGCGAATGATTAACAAAGTCAGCCAAAGAACTTCCATATGGCCAATAAACAGGCAGAGAAAATGTTTAACTTATCACCAAAAATGAAGTGACCTTAAAGGAGAGTCTGGGAGTGTTTAGTTACTTTGTAAGAAATACCTCTATATAGTGTTATCCCATTTTCTTCTCTAGAAAGCTAGTGGAAACGAAACCTAAGGTGAGCCTTTTTTCTCAGACTCATAAACATTATCACTGCTCACATTATCTAGTTAACTGAAGAGAACCCAAAGGGAATAAAGACTTTTTGGAAAAAAAATGTGAGGCATCCCAAATGTCAGACATGAATGTAGCTCGACAAACTTCCCTGTGACAGACAAACATCAGTTTCTGCCATTTCCTCCCAGCATTTCTCTGGGATGAAATGAAGCATGCTATGAAAATGCTCTGTCCCTTGCCATAAACTCTCCACAACACTCTGTGGATTCTCATTACAGAAAAATTTAATCTGCAGTTTGTAGTGTTTTTGTGAATCCAAAGTAAAGATTGACTTCCAATTTAAACATGCAACAACAAGAGCTGAGCTGGACCCATCCTACCAAGCAATACAAAGCACAAGTAAAGTCAGTAGCTTTAAGTGTTTGATCAAAGAGAAATCACCTGCTTGTCAAAAGCATGAGCAAAGTAATCAGCACATTAACTGTGTCCAGAAAGTGAAAGATTGCTGTCTGATGCCACTTGGCCTTTTCCAAACAAGAGGCAGAGTGAACTTTCCCAATTCCAGAGGCAAAATGGGATATTTACACAGGA